AAGGTCTCAGAATTTAATGGGGGGTAATGAAGTGAACTACGATATACAGGCCTTATGAACTACAATGTACACGCCTTGCAATAGGAGCACTCGTTATATATTGAAATATGGGGAATCAAGAAGGTGAAGAAAGGGAGATGACAGGAGGTTGTCACAAGAGAGAAAGGGAAGGATTGCATTAAAAAAGTGCATGTATTTTTTTCAACGGAGAGAACCTAACATAAGAATCTTCGAGTATCCTGATATACAGGGCAAAGCAGTTTGTTGGCAGCGCTGGAGTCAAACCACTTGAGTTGAGTAGTCACGGAAGGTTGTTACTACAGAGGCACAGACAGAGGATCTTTGATTTGGTACCTGACTCTTATGACTAATGGTTATTCTGAAAGGCTGTGAGTAGTTCATGAACATTCATACGCGATTCGGTTAGTGAGTTCACGGGGGACTTTTTAGGTATATTTCTTTGTTTAGGGTTTAGATATAGTACCTAATGCATGTATGTGGACTTTAATAAAATATGTTTTTGATGGAATTCTCCTAACTCAATGCAACCAGCTACAGTTTGAATCCGAAGAAGAGTATCTCATTCTCAAATAACATTGAAGTTTATTATAAGGTGCTGCAGAACAAAGTACTTCGTATTATCACCAATGGTGATAGATACTCTCGAGTGGCAGACCTCCACGAAAGATGTGGTAATTTGCCAAGAATCAACGAATTCATTCTTAAGATATCAAACAAATTCTACAAATACCACATCGCTGGAAGTGACCTTACCCGGAACATCACCACACTACGCCAACACCATAACATACGCAAGAAACACGGGCTGATATATGCATCAACCGATGTGTTTAGAGAACCTGGTGATCTATAGTTGGGATCCCTCCCGGATTCTCGGGAATACCCGAGACGCCGGGGGGTCTAGACAAGACTATCTCTCAAGCAGGAAAATAAAAAAGTGACATGAGCGTGAGAAATCACTACCGATCACTGAACTCGGGCAGATGTGCCTCACGAAAGTGTGGTACAGCTGCCCGAGCAGAACAAGAAGGAGGTTTTTTATGGTTTTGCCGATTTTTTTTACTTTTCCTCCAAAAACAAGCTAACCCACCCACATTGATCGCGACTGAACAGCTCCCCCACCCTCTTGGGTACCCTCAGCGAGATTACCTATATAAAGGGCCTAGCCCTAGGAGATAGGTACCTGTGACGAACACCTCGCATACCCACTCACATTCCCTGGCCAACACCAGCCACCTCTGCGCCAAGCGGAGGGATATTCAGGCACACATATAGATGTGCTAACATAAATAGAAATGTGTGTGATAATATGTGTTGTATTGTGAAAGAATTGAAGATGAATAAATAATTTTTAATGTGTGACTTCCAATGTAGTGACTGAGGTTCAATCCCTGCGAGGCGTCATTTTTTTTTTTAATTTTTTCACTCAATTAATTTGCCAAGAATATATTTTTCAGGAAAAAGGTTGATTGAGGACAGGTTAGGTTGGAAGTAATTTTCTTTTTCATGCAGAAGAGATATATTTTCCTTCCTTATGTTACCTTATAAGTCTTATAAACACGAATAACCTTCTGATAACCTTGAAGTTTGACAGATTTGCTGGTCTAGCTAGACGCTTGTGTGTTTATTGATTTGTGATCATAAGCTAACAGACTCTCAAAAAATGACATCATTTCCATGACTTCCATATGATATTGAGACCTTTGAACCATTGGGAAAATTTTCGAAAAATAATAAAATTCAAAAGATTGGTGTAAGGATTTGGAATAAAAAAATAAAAAATCGGTCTACTACCCCAAAATGTTCCGAAAGAATTGAGTTGTTGGCCTAAATACTACATATTTTTCCGTTGTACTGCAGAAAGCGTCAATTGTATTTTAGAATAGTCAATTATTGTATTTCAGAAAGCATCAATTGTATTTCAGAATAGTTAATTGAATTTCAGGAAAGCGACAATTGTATTACAGAATAGTCACTTGCATTTCAGAGATCTCCAATTGTATTTCAGAATAGTCAATTCGATTTCAGAAAGCGTCGATTGTATTTCAGAGAAGTCAGTTGAATATCAGAAAGTATCATTCGCATTGGAGAAAATATCATTTGAAATACAATTGATGTCTTCTAAAATTGAATTGACCATCCTGAAATACAATTGGCTATTCTGAAGTACAATTATTGACGCTTTCTGAAATACAATTGGCTATTCGGAAATACAATTTACGCTTTCTGGATTAGTATTGAAATTTTCTGGAATACAACTGGAAAAGGAGTAGTTGAAGGTCTGAAACCACTGATTTTTTTTTTAATTGACTCGACCATTACTTGATGAAAATGCATGGCAAATGTAAAAGCTTAACAAACGATGAGATTTCCACGAAATTCTCAAACACACAACATGTTTTGCTAACACAGTAGCTTCGTCAGGTGATATACTGGTAATGAACCAAACTCACCTGGGCTTGCTAGACTTTTATATATCCTATTTTCCCAACCTGAAGGATTAGTTTACCTGTGGACATGTCGATTAAACTTCATTTTCGGTAATTAGGCACAATATCTACATTGAAATACGGTGTACCGAATTAATTTGAGAGAGTTGAAAGCAAATACATATTACCTACCAAGAAAACTAATTCAACAGTGGTGAACTATTGAGGTCTAATTGATCGATAAGTGAGATGTCAACGTGTAGAATTTCGAAATTATCATTAAAATTATGGTTTTCTTCTGATATATGGTTGGCGTATGTTGAATTTGTTTTCTTTTTCAAAAAATTCAACTTATGTTCATGAATGCGCTGATTAAACGTACGACCTGTCTGACCGATATATACCTCAGGACAAGATACACAGTTGAGTTTGTATAGGTACCCCTGGTTTTTCGAATTTTGAAGTTTTGTCTTTATTATTCTTGATAAACCGTCCCAACGTGTTATTTGTTCTATATGCCACTTTTAAGTCCTGTTTATGTATAGAAATGGAGCTAATTTCTCAGTTGATGATCCGAAATAGGTTAAAGTTCAATAATTTTGATTATTATTCTTGATGGTAGGATAAACTTCTTGGAGTTTCTCAGAAAGAATACTGTCTATCAAATAAATGTTGTATCCGTTGTTGACTGCAATCTGTTTTATGATATTGAGTTCTTTATTGAAATTTACTTCCGAAAGAGGGACATTCACTAGCCTGTGTATCAAACCATTATATGCTGCAATTTTATATTGATAAGGGTGTGTTGAATTATCATGAATAGTGATATCATTGTGGGAAGGTTTATGGAAAATTGAATTGACCTTTCTGTTTCTATTTCCATCTTGAATTTCATGTTTGGATGAATATATAGTATCAATATATTGGTGAAAAGTGACTGATTGTCTATTGGTTCCTTTAATAGTAGATTGTCTTATTAGGATCAAAAGTGACACTTTGTTTGACAAGCGAATTTTGCATTTGCGAGGCGGAGCGTCTAGCGAAGCCGAGCGAAAGCAAAATTTGCAAGTCGAACAAAGTCACTTTTGATCCGAATGAAACATGCTATTTTTTCTGCAACCGAAACAATTAAATCAAATAAACATGTGAAGTAACCATCAATGCCGTGCCATATGTATGCAATGCAACAAATATTGACAATAAATAATCAATGTGGTGAGAACAGCAGGTTAGGTTTTTTAGGATGTTCGAATTGTAGTTTCAATATAAATACAACCACAGAGTGACATATTTGTGTATAGACCAGATGCTCTAATGGCAAATACCGTGCCAGTGCCAGCTATAGGAACAAGACGTGGAAAATGTTAGGTTAGTGAGCATATCAACAATGATAATAGTGATTATTTATTCCTCTCCATACTACACTGTGTTCGACTTGCGATAATCAAATGAAGCTAAACAATATCGTTGTTTGAGACAAAAAAACTATTACCTGCCGTGATTATTTAAAAACAAGTTATATATCCCGAGAATAACGAATGAAATACAGATCAACCAAGTATTTGAATCTTGAAGGCTTCCCTGATCAAAACAAAAATACTTAACTGAGATGTTCATAATTGCAATACTAAACTATGATAAGGTGTATTTATATCTCTAGCATGGGTATAAAATGCCAAATCTGCTGAAATCGGAAACAAATCAGGTATGCGTCTCAACCCAAATAACCAACCATCACAATGTTGTTGATTCTTGATGACGTCCAGTAGATCCTTTTTAGTTCCTAGGAGCTAAAGTTCAACTTTAGCTCCTAGGAACTAAAATTCAACTTTAGCTCCTAGGAACTAAATATGTTGCCTAGCAACATACCTATTTTTGTGTCAGTAATAAAAACGTCAATTTAAAAGCTAATTTTGGTATCAAAATGGACGACTTTTGTGTCGGTTGCAGAAAAAGCATATTATATAACGTCATGTACGTATCTATACCAATACAAACATTGTTTTATCAATGAATGCTTATGTATTATTCGCTCCTAGTTATCCATGAAAATTTCAGCAAGTAAAAGGCTCAGTGGATTTCCTATAATCAACCCTTTTGACGCGGAATAAATTTTGTTGTCAAATTGAAAGTAATTTTGTTTGAGACATATCGACAAAAGGTCTAAAATCTCTTGTTTGGTAATCGGATTAACATGATTTTCATCTAATAACTCCTCAACTGAAATTATAGTATCATCGGGAGGTATACTTAGAAATAGGTTTTGTACACCAAATGAAATGAATTTTGTGTTGTCCAGGTAGAGTATATCTCAAAAATTCACAATATATCAGTAGGTATATAGGATATAAAGCCGTGTTCATACGTTCGAGCAAATATTTCATTCCATTTAATATACAAAGGATGTAGGTGTAGGTGCATCCTTTCCAGTCGCCCCCATATCTCACGACCGAAAGAAATTTATCACGTGATAACACCTTTTTGTTTGTGTATGCCGGTGCAAGCTTCGCGCGTTATTTGTTGCGATATAATAGCAGGAAATGTTCGCAGGACTGAAAGCGAATTGCCCGATTTCGGCATGCACTACATTCAAGAGACCGACATGAAATGGTCCCTCAAGTTCAAAGTGAAATCGATGGATTCATATTTTCCGGTAAGTTTTCAGTAGGTACGGAAAAATCAACAACCCATCAGCAATCATTGATATACAGTAAAAAAACTCTTCGAGTTGAATTCGCAGAGTATGTTTTTAGAGTTAGAATATTCTGACAAACTCTCTCTGATATTGCTATCAACCCTATAACTACACTTCTAGCAGATTATATCCTTTGAAACTAATTCTAGATTGAATTTTCACTAATCCCGTATTGAATTTACTCTATATTCCTGAAATTTCAATGAAATATCATTTCAGATATCTTAATTCACAAACAATTGAAATTGAACTATACAAGTGTTAACTGACACTAGTGAACTATGAGTGAACTCGAATGTCTTACTCTTGTCATAGATTAGCTGCTCTTGTCGATTGAATTGACACTCTATCATTGTTCAATTCAATCTATATACGATGAAATATTAATCTATACAGTTTCAGATCGTTTAGTCTATACTGTATAGTGAAATAAGTAACAATGATTATGGTGTCGATTATATTATGATCATGATATTACCTTCAAGTAGCTTTTCCATACCCGCGTTGTGAGAGATTTTTTAACTTTGAGTTTATAACGTAGTTCCTTTTGTGACGGGAAAAAAGTTTGGCATTTCATCTCTGTTGGCAGGTTATAAAATGTCACTTTTCGTAAATTACTTTCTTCTCGTGGGAAAAGAGTGAGTACTTTTTTCCCGGATATATATCACATATATATACACTGTTGATGGTTCTTGTTGTGCTATAGTTCCGAAAAATGAGTCAATAATACCGTCTCCGAGAAAGAACTGCAAGTCCTTTTATCTTCCATTCGACTTCGCGGTCACGTATATAAGTAAACAACCATTAAATTCGCAATTCTTCGGAATCAAATCACAGAATTAGACTGACAGAAGTGACATCAGATATTTGATTACTTCAAAAGAATGATTAAGATGCCTACAACGCAGGTGTCCCTACTTAATTTTCAGATTTCCCGCTACGCGTCGGGAGACAACTCACCCTGGAGCAAAAATCTACTACTTTTTTCCCTTGTATAAATAAATAAATATCATCAGATGGAGTACATGGATGTTGAATCTGAGACATGCCTGATCAATATTTTCAACGTCCGTAACTGAATTGGTACATATCCGCTTTCTTTCCGAATAGTGTTTTTCCAGTAGGCATATTTCACAATTTCAATTAAGTGGGTTGTATTGTGGACATTGAATGCCAAACAATGTGCTTCTCGGATCTAAAACTAAATATTGATATGAAATTTACATTCGTAACTGGAACGCGATATATTTTTTTTTCATCAATTCATCAACTATCTCAATGAAGACGAGGCAGGCAGATAGGATATCAATATATCGCCTTCCGTACTAATATAAGGATCTGAATTCTGTAAAGTATACTCTGGTCAGTTCTCTTTGCTGATTTTCTGTTCGGTTCGTCTTGACTAGGTAGTTTTCTCCGAATGAGTGGCAAGTATCAAATACTGCTTTTCGGATCTGCAACTAAACATCACATATTAATCGAAGTACATTTAACTGAGACATACCTGAATGATATTTTCATCGTCCGTAACTGGATTGCTACATATCCGCTATCTTTCCGAATAGTTGTTTTACCAGTAGGCGTCTTCCACATTTTCAATTACGTGGGTTATATTAAGGTCCTTGGAGGTCAAACAATAATGTACTGCTCGGATCTGAAACTAAGTATCGATTAAGAATTTGAATCGTGAGACCTACATAGAATATAAATCTATGAAAGGTCTGGATATTGTTTTCAGCATTCGTATCTGGAACGCGATATATTTTTGTAATTCATCAAATCATTAGCTATCTCAATGAAGACGAGGAAGGCAGATAAACAACAATTTTCTCTGCAATGAAGAACACTGTATATACCTAACCCACCATGCGCCTACCTCCTTTGCAGAGAGGGTTTATAAACGCCGAGTTGATACTCTCCCCTCGTAAGGGTACCTGTCGTGTTTCCATAGAGACATAAAGGTGAATATCTGTCTTATCTGTCTTCCTGAGAATCTGGAAAGGATATCAATATTTCGCCTTCCGTACGAATATGATGATGTGAATTCTGTAGAGTATACTCTGGTCAGATCTCTTTGCGGATCATCCGTTCGGTTCTTCCTGACTGGGTGGTTTTCTCCGATTGAGTGGCAAGTATCGAACACTTTGCTTCTCAAATCTGCAAATAAACATGACATCAAATATCGAAGGGTATAAAAATTGATACTGATTTTCGTGAGAGGCGGAACATGGAAATTGAATCTGAAACATATTATTATCTGAATAATATTTTCAATATTCGTAACTGGAACGCGATATATTTTTGTGATTCATTAATTCATCAACTATCCCAATGAAGACGAGGCAGGCAAATAAATAATACTTTCCTCTGCAATGACACTGCGAAAATAATATTTCATTTCCACTCATGAAGCAACGTTGTCAAGTTACCAATTATAATCAATTTATCAAAAAGATGAGAGTCCTGTCGTTGGGTGAAACCCGAGATGACACATAATATGCGTGAGCCATGATATTATAGTTCATTCTCGACTTTTTCGAGCAACCAGCATGTCTGAATATCTCTTGTTCTCCATAAAAAAATTTCATGTTGATGTTGAAGACTCGGCAACAATGTGTTGAATGCTGAGAACTGACAAGGTACCGCCCACAATTCGTGCGCCGTGTTGTCACGTTTACCCTCAAATTCCCTCTAGTGTGAATCAATATAATAATATTAATATTGACACAAATGTATTAAATGCAATAAAGCGACAACAGATGATGGGATATTTCGAGACAATTGATTTTGCATGTTCAATTAGGAATATAACCAATAGAAAATTTGAAATTTATGAATAATTGAATAACTAATATTTCTGAAGTTCCAATAGTCTTTCAACATATGGCAACTGTGCTATGGTATGTTTCTACTTACGAAATCGTGACGTCTGTTTTTACTCGCGGTAAATTTTTAGCCGTTTGAAAATTACCGTGGCATTATTGTTGATCTTAGCACTTTAGAATCGAACGGAAAAATCTAAAAATATGAAAGTGTTGAAAAGGAATATTCTCAGATAAATTATGAACATACAAAAATGGATATATATTTATATAAAGCAATACATTGAGAATTCGCATTTTCTATGTGATGAGAATATCTATTCTTTTTCAGTTTATTCAATAGAAAACAACTACTTTCCTGGCTATATGCCACGACGAACATTGAATTATATCTATTGAACACACACGATAAGAGTTTGAAAATAAAATATAAAAACTTCTGAAATTGAGAATTTGCATTCTCCTTCAGACAAAAATATATATATGCACACATCATTCTGAATATTCATCAGAAAACAACAACTTTCCTCGCTATTTGCCACGTCGAACATTGAATTATATCTGATGAACAATCAAAAGGAGAACACATGAAAAATAAGAAATGAAATCCTCTGAAATTAAGGATTGACATTCTTCTTCAAATCGGATGAACAATCTGATGTATAATGATATAGAAATATAACTTACCAATATATTCAGCATTGAAATGAAAATTGGAATGTATAGGAGAAGTATACTGGCATAAACTCTTATCTTGATGAGCTTGAAAACTTCCAGAAATAATCATTCATATCAGTGATATGGGAAATATTATCTCACACACACAGGTTATATATATTATTGCAAAACGATTTTAAAAATCGGTTGACAAGGAAAAAAGTTATGACTGTAAAACCTGGAAGTTAATTTTCTGATATCACTTTAAAAGTAAAAGAGATAATGGGACAATTTGAGAAATGTCTGTCAAAGTTGAAAAAACAAGTTTTTGTTTATTTGGGGTCCTTTTGAAAATTCAAAAATTTTTCACAGTTTCAGGTGATACCCTGTAGCGAGTTTATATGAAGAACCTCATGTTTTAAAGAAGTACGAGCTTACAGCTGAGGGACTGAGCTAGCGAACAGTGTGGACCGAATTCAAATTGTTCAAAGAAGAAAAAAGTTATTCATATTTTAACAGGGGGGCAAAAAAAATAAGTGTTGCGTAGTTTATATGAGTTATCACCTTATCCAAGAATGCGGGCTGGATATAAATATAATATACAATAGGAAATGATACAATTAGTACAGGGTATTTCCGGACAAATTTTCAATCGAAGTATATGGACATAATAAGGGTTTGACAATTCGTGTGTGACCAGTTCAAAGAAATTTTGACGACCTCGAAAATTTCTCCGTTAAAATCACAGGTAAAAATTGGCAGTTGCGGTACCTATAGCCTAGCACAGTCAAAAGAATCGTGCCCACTTTCTGCGATACGGATTGACAAATTTTTCTCGGGTTTGTTCTAATCACATCCGTTCCTCACAAAAAATACGAATATAAACTGCAACATTGGCCACACGTAGTGAAAATGAACCAAAGGAGTACCTATACTCTAAGATTTCTAGATGTATCGAGTGGTATCGGATCAAAATACCTATAATAAAAAAATGAAAAATAACTCACCAGCGTGAATGAAGTGGAAAAATGAATCATTTGTATGAGGAATACAAAAACACATGACTATCACTCATTTTTCACAGAACACTCCATTTGGAACGATAGATAATTCCTTTCGCGTATTTTTCAATGTCTATCACAAAATTCGACCTTACGTGATGACATCTAATATGAGACTGTCTTCATTTACCACCTGGTCCCGAATGAATGACTAATAAGTTGAATCATGTTGCAAACCGATTAATTTCCGAACAAATGATTTATCTATGACTAATAATGATGATAATGGAATTATACAGGGGGGAGGAAGATATATAGTATACAAAATATAAGATGAAGTATTGAACACGGATATACTGCCAGTATTATTTTCGAGAGTCTAATGATTTGAAAAAATTGAACACAGGCTGAAAATATAATCTTTCCCAAAATCTCTAAATATGTTTTGATGACTGGAAAGAGTAGGGAAATAATTAACAATGTGGCCTACATTTTATGAGCGCGCATCCAATTTGACATTTGTGTGTGTGAAAATGAAATGAGAACTCGAAAATATCTAAAATAATTGAAAAATTATTGTATGGAACGAAATCCATCCTAATTCGGCTCTAATTGAGTTGAAATTTGAGGACTGGTTATTTTTTTGTAATAAAATTGAATTTTGAAAATTACGAGTTCGATAAAAATCATATTTTTCAAATTGGATGCGCACTGTTAAAAAAGAAGAAGTTTTCTGTTTTGCCTGAAGACGGATCTGAATTCGGAATTTGATTCCTATTTAGTTTTGATGAGAAATATGAGTTGAATATACCAAGTATGAATCGATTATACACAGTGGTTCAAAAGTTATGACCTGACCAATCAAGATTACGTTCCGTATCACAGTTATTACATATGGTAGACACATCGATAGGAGGTGATTGGAACTATTAAAGTCTCTTGCAAAAAATATTTTTTCATGAAAAATGTTCGAATCGTCGTATTTTATCCTGGTTTGTTCTTTTCGCATCATTTTGTTTTTAAAAAATACAGTTCCGAACAGAAAGCACGAAAATCAGAAGAAAGTATTTCTTGATCGGAAAATAATACAACAAGCGGTAAAGAACATATAGGGTAATGAAATGTAATGAATACAGTGAAATTTGAGGAAAAATTCAGAGGATTTCTCTCCACTCACGAGCGTGAAAAAAGTGAAGCTCTGATGAAACAACACGAAACACTAGAACATACACGATCTCGATATTGTTATTGAATCGAATGAGGGATACGAAAACACTATATACAAATCAATACTATCACTCATTTTTAAGGGGAACAATCAGTTTGTACCATGAATAATTCCGTGCGCGTATTTTTCAATGCTGATCACAAAATTCGACCGTACGTGATGACATCTGATATAAAACTGTCTTGATTCATCACCTAGTCCCGAATGAATGACTAATTAGTTGAATCATACTGCTAACCGATTAATTTCTGAACAAATGATTTATCGATGACCAATGATGATAATAAAATTAAACTGACTGACCGACTGATCCTCCACTGAAAGAACAGTTTGGTAACAATGAATAAATATGATAACCTAACTGTTACCAAATCCGTTATTGAAATGTGGCTTATCAAACGTTTGTTTGAAAAAAACAAATTACTCGTTCACACCCTCATGAATAAGCCATAGTTGAATTATGATTATACCATGATGATATTTATTTATTAACTGAGAATATATATTTCTTCACCCACGCACCAAACGAAATTATTTCAAAATCTTTGTTTTTAGTAACCAAATATTCATTTGTATGAGTACAGCATGAAAAGAATGTGATGTATTACCACCACTCGTGGATCAACCCGCGAGGGGGTGTTTCTGAGCCTTATATCAAAAACAAATTCAGTAACAGTAAACAAATATTATTTATATAAGTATATAACCAAACTATTCGATCAGGGCTGGTTGCGTAAAAATAACTCTTTCAAATTCATGCAAAGCAAATCATAAGAAAATACTCATGCATACTACATATAGGTATTCGCACCTACTTAAGATCAAAATGTTCCAATATTGATTGATTAGCACCACATATGCACCACAGTTTTTTTAATAACATACTGAATGTTGTATAATAAATGCACTGATAGTCGTCTGCCATTTTTTTCATATGTGATGTCGTACCTTTATTAAAATATCCCAAGAAGCTAATTGTAGACGTAAATATACATGTCCAAATGTAAACAAACCCGCACTGTTATATAAGGGATTGAACTAATATAACCATCACACTTCATAATTTTTGCGTTGGTTCAAATCACAAGGAAATCATCAACGATTTCATAAAGATGCTCACGCTATCTAAGATAAAAGCTAAACTAAAACGATAGCCCATGCGCATAAGAGTTCGTTAATTATTACCAAAAAATTCAAGAAAGAAGATTTTGATTTTCCATGCTCTCCTTTTTTGATTTGCAACAGATATAATTCAATGTTCGACGTGGCAAATAGCCAGGAAAGTAGTTGTTTCCTGTTGAATGATTCAGAATGATATTATATCCATATCTTTATATAAAGGAGAATGCAAATTCTCTACTTCAGATTCTGTTTTCAAATTCTCATCGTGTGTGTTCAATAGATGTAATTCAATATTCGTCGTGGCATATAGCCAGGAAAGTGGTTATTTTTTGTTGAATAAACCGAAGAAGAATTAATATTCTCATCACATGGAGAATGCGAATGCTCAATGTACCTATTTCTTTATATATATATCCATTTTTTTGTGTTCATAAATATATCTGAGAATATTCCTTTTCAATAAGGAATACCTAATTTGGCATAATGGTTGTGATTTTGTTTTCTTGAAAATGACAATACAATGGGTACCCTACTTCAAACAAAGCGGTCTAAATGTGATTCAGGAAAAACATGGAAGTCTAGCAACAATGACGATATCATCTACTCCCATTCTCTCACGTGTATTTGAATTCCCGTGTCTCTCGAAATAACCAGGCATACGTGAACGACGAAGGACATACAATAAAACAGACTCGATTCTCTTTGCTTCCTAGATTTACATCCTCAATTCGGAAGAGGTGGCGGGGATCGACACACAGGCCCAGCACGTTTGGGATTTCAGCATGGAGAGCATGATGTTCTCCGTCAAGCAAACTTACACGACACAGGACACTGCCCAGCTGAGCATAAAGCAAAGGAGATGTGCTTTTCCTAATGAAATTAAATTGAAGGTATGCGAATTCCAGCTCCGACCGGCTCATCACAGATCACTTACTGATTCGAATGTTAAAATCAACAGACCTACTCATCTGATTTATCATTGTCTCACTCAAGGCGGGTTCAGCCAGCTCATAATGCATAGTGGATCACTCATAGTGTGTGATGCATAAAATGTAATAACGGGACAACTCAAAAAATTCCAAAATGTGATCGAACAATAAGGTGACTTAATGACTTGTCACATTATCTACCATGAGGAAGTCCTCATTGTCAAAATACGAGGCGTATCCTGCGAAGCCTTGGTGACAAGGCAAAAAGTCACTTTCTTGCTCGGCTGTAGCACCTACTTCTCCTCTAGTGCAATAACGTAACCAGCGTTGTCACGCAGCAGCTATTAGACCTAGAGTTGTCATGATACTTTAGAAGTGTACTGCTCGAAATTTGCTATACGACGGTGGTTCTGAATCAAAGATCAACTTTTTGAGTTGTCACACTATTATTCTCAATCAGTTCTCAACGTGCGATATGATATCTAGGATGACGATTTGATTAGATCTATTTGATGACAAACGCTTGACGATTTGATTACATCTTTTTTCCTTCTGCTTCCTCCGAGGTTCCTTGTTATTGGAAACCCCTCGAAACGAACCTACTCATTGATGCAATCATCGTATGAATGCCTTAATTTGGTCGACCTACTCATTATCTCAATAACATACTAGTTAAACGTTCGAAGTTGTGTTCTAATCTGCCTGGCTATCACAAGGGCGATATCCTCGACTTCATCGGCAGCGCTAGCAAACCTCTGGAACCGTATTCCCATCCACAACGTTTTGACAAGGGCAGCATTATTATCTATAGATTCTTGTATTTCGGAAATCAATTCATAAGGAGACGACTGGTAGATCACTCCAGGATTCTGTGAAATGAATAATCGCCAAACTCTATAACATTTACATGGTTTTAAAAACTCGATTGGACTTGGGCTTGGAGCCAGTGTGCTTAGCATAAGACCGAAGATGAAATTCCCAATCAATCTTAGCAAGTATGCTGCAAAATTTCAGTTAGAGGTCTTCGCTATTGAATTATGTACAAGAGAGTTGACTGGTAGACCTCTAGTAAGCAAAAACATCAGTAATATCGAGGGACCTTCGGCCCGATAATTACATACTCACTGTTTTACCACTAACAAAACCGATCTTTCAACGCCTGCACAAGTGTCGCCCCACTCACATGAAACCTAACCTAACATTCAGATTTACATTTGGTATAAAGAGTATTATAAGATGAGAAGAAATTAGAAGATGAAACTGTACGACCTGATTGTGCCCCATTTTCTTTTGCTATCTTCTTCATTGAAGGTTCCAAGTTCCATAGGATTTTTAGCAAATCTATCAGTGGAATCTCTTCCATAGTATCCTGAGAATTTTACAGCATTGCATTCTGCAAAAAGTCCATTTCAATATCTCTCATTTCAAAATGGCTCCAATGGTATATTCCGAATATTGAAAACATTCGAAAGTATTGGTAACACTGACAAAACATTTGGATGTTCAATTCTCCTCTGAGGTTATTGTTCTTCTCCGTGTTGTTGGCCTCTCTCTTGCCAGAGCTGAATCATTTGGTATTGTTCAGGCTCCCAAGTTTCACTCTTCAGATGATTTCATTGTATGTTCTCAAGGTATTTTAAACAACTTGATATTTCCAAATAGAATATCTCGTATCTGATTATTGCCTAACAGTTTGATTATAATAAACTTGTAAGAATTGAAGTTTGCTCTATAGAAGCTGTGGTGAACACAATTGGGTTTCGTTATGACTCGATTGAAGACGCAAAAGAGGTGAATGTATTTCCCTATCACAGTATTTTAGCCAAATAATAAATCATCGAAACCGCATTTCATCGGAACGGTAACCCACGAAAACCGTATTTCATAGAATCCTCATTCGATCATAACTGTTTTTTCTTCAGCGGTTGACTGCCTGAATCAGAAATATTTCCTCGTTTATTTTTAAGGTGAATAAAATATACTCTTACACGGCCTGTACGCGGGAATGCCGGATGAAAAATGCAATGAAATTATGCTCTTGTGTGCCATTTTTCTATCCGGTGGCTGGAACGAGCTATAGGCATTGTGGTATTGATGAATTGCCGTGCATTACTAGCCATTTGGAGAAGATAAAATCCATTGATGAATGCTCTTGCTATTTGGGATGCTCAAATACGGTGTACGAAATAGAGAAGTTGAACGGCATGGGGTGAGTGAATATTATATAATATTGCAGTTGAAATAATGAGAAGTAAGGCGTATCCATTGAGGATTACAGAGAGATGTTCAACCCAGATAGCACAAGATCATCTAATGGATATACTATGGATATCCATCATGGATATTGTGGATGTCCATAAAATATCCGAAAAAGGCTCTGGTATATCCTATGGGCGTAAATAGGATGTGATAGTGTGACCTTTTTGGATGTCTTGAAGATATTCATTATGGATATTCATAAGATATGAACTATGGATATGGATAAGATATAGTATACCTTAAATATAAAAAAAAACACGAAAATTTTGAAGCACCCACGTCTCATTGCGTTCGAATAATATGTAGTTGTCAGTTCTTCTGCATCATCAATTTTGGACGACTTCGTAGGAATCACTTCCAAATTCACTTCAAATTAATTAAATATGAGAACAGATTGACATTATTTGACTATTCCAAGTTTGGTAAAATCGATGATCTATAAATAATCATCAGTACATTCACTGTATATACTTGATTTGAAATTTATAGGTATTGATCTTATGTCTTTGTATCTTATGGATATCCTATGGACGTATTCAGGACGTTTGTTTCGGATATCTCAAGTACATCTGCAATCGGATATCTTATGGATATATATTTTATGTCCACGGATATCCCGCCTTGAATAGGACTTGAGATGGATATCCATAAGATATCCTGTGTTAACTGGGAAGGAATCTGGGGATTTCAGACGAATACGCTTTTTAATACTTCACGAACTATGACGAAAACATACAGGGTATGTCTCGACGAGCTTACACTATCTCTATAAGAAGAATCTGTCAGGAGGAATATGTTCTCTTCATTTAAAATATTTTTATTTCCTGAATATTATTGCATTTTTAGATTCTCCCTAAAGAGCTGATTTCATTGATATGTCACACTTGGGTTCTATCGGAAATTATTACAGAGATGAAGGCTGTTCAAAATCGAGAATCTTCAACTTTAGGATTTGTTTGTGTCGGAACTATTCATTATCTGTCAAAACGGCCCATATGTCCCTACCTCTACTTTCATTTCACTATTTACTGATATTCAATCGGAACAGATACAGAGGGTTATCAGAATTCTGAATCTTGAACCACCCTGTATCTGTTCTGATTAAATATCAGTGGATGGTGAATCAAAAGATGAGATCGGGACATGTGAGCCGTTTTGTCCGATAATGAATAGTTTCGACATTAAAATCTCAATTTTGTACACCCTATATCTCTGTAATCTTTTTCGATAGACCCCAAGTATGATACATCGATGAAATCAGCTCTTCAGGCAGAATCTAGAAATGTGATGAAATACAGGGTGTTCTATTCGAATTATCAATGTTGCTACTACTTTCTAGTGGAAGTGGCAACATTGCATTGCCGAACATATTTTAAATGAAGAGAGCGTATACTGAAATATGAGCATGCACATTTTCATGGATTTCTTCCGTCTGATTCTCGATATAAATATAGTGTAAGCTCGTTGTGACATACCCTGTATACGGTATTTCCTATAACTGATAATCTTTATGATAATTGTATTTCTAGATCATCACAAGAGGGAGAAGAAGGAGCATTAGAATGCCAATTTGTGTCTTGGCCGATGGTTAGATACAAAAGAGAAGTTTTATTCGGATGGGTCGATTTATTAGGTGAATATCAAATCATAATGAATCAGATCTGACTGAAGTTCTTGATCTATTTGGAAACCTTCAGGATTATTCCTCATGGAATTGAAAGTTGACTATTCCATTTTCATATTCATAGTGTCTGCCGCATGGTATGTACTCATGTAAAACGGGGTGTTTCGAAATTCAGGATCGAGATTTCAGGAAATTATTTTTCAGGACAAATTAGGACTTTTTTTTCGTATAAATATGTGTCCGCAAAAGCTTCTTTAATAAGCTACAGAGCGTAAAAGTTTCAAGGTTTCTTCATTTCTCACCATATACAGGGTGTTAGTGAATAAGTGCGACAAACTTCAGGGAGTAATTCCTTGTGATAGTTCAGAAAATGAAGTTTATTTAAACATGTGTCCTAAGTTGCTTCGTTTTAGAGATGCAGGGTATTAATATTACCATGAAAAATCGTTTTTTCAATCATTACTCGAATGGCTTTCCACCAATTCCAATGAAACTTGGTGATGTGATTTAATTCAAAATAATATTTTCAATGGCGTCACAGTCAGTTAATTTATCGATATTTACGTTTAATATCATTGTACACCACCGATTTGCCTGACTTACATATTTTTATTAGATTGAACAATTGGAATATCAACTTTCATATCCTCTGTGTTTCTTTTGTATCTTGCTTAGTATTTTGAAACATTCATTGATATTACTCAATAACTTCAATAAGAATCATTTTGAAATTTTGGGACTTTTTTAGTCTCCAATCATACTGAATTTTCGCACCATGGAAGCTCATATATATAAAAAGAAACAATTGATACTTCCAACTCCAACATAATGTATATCAAGAACGAAGCAAGTAAGGACACATGTTTATATACAGGGTGTTTCATAATGCTGATCCTAAAGGGCGATGATCCTTGGATGATTTCAAGGAGAGAAGTTCATATCAACAATGTCCTGAACCTCTTAGTTTTTGAGCTAAAGGGTGTTGAAATCAGAAGCGTACAGCGTTTTTTTAAACAAAACATTCAATATCAGGTCTACGAGGGTAAAAGTAAAAGTTTGATTGTCGTTTCAAAACAATATGTGTTTCCACTTATAGTGGGTGTCTACTGAATTACCAAAAACAATATCCAAGAACTGAAGGAACAAAATTCTTTGGTTTTTATTTTTCTACGCGAAAACGGTACGTTGTATGAAAGTAAGTCTTGGAACCAAATTTGCTCCAAAATGAATAAGAATTTAAAAAAAAATCTGGTTCTCAGAAAAATCAGTGGCGTACTATTTTTCTCTTCAAAAATTGTCAGTTCAAACCCCATACGGACGCCACTGGTGAGAATTTTTAAATATCTTTCACGTAAAAAGTGCTCCTTAATAATGAGAAGGTGTATACAAAATATCATAGCAATATCTAAAAGTGATAAAAAATTATGATGAAAAACTCATTTTTTTCTTGAAATTTCATCACACTGTAGCTCAATAACTAAGAGGTTTAGGACATATGTTGATATAAACTTTTCTCTTTGAAATCATCCAAGGATTATCGCCCTCAAGGATCAGCATTCAATTATGAAACACCCTGTATACCATATTTCCTGAAGTATTACAAGGAATCACCTCCTGAAGTCAATGTTTGTGGGTTGGCTTCCACAGATATTGTGTTAGACATGAATGAGGATTTATTTGACAAGTGTGTATATTGCATCATTATCGCGAATATATTGCCAATCGGATTGAGTGATCGCCAATAATTGATCATACAAAAAAGGTTTTTCTGGGGTCAAAAGAGTGAGGCGGCATCCAACTTCCGCGTATTGTTTGTTTTCATTTTTTCGATAAAAAATTACATGAAAATAAGGGTGAGCCTTTTCGATGGAAAATCCTGAGCAGTGGGCACTGACTCTGTTTGTTTGTTTCTCCAAGTTTCATTCGGAGGCATCGCTGGATTATTCCTGGGATTCAGCCTCTTGTCAGGAGTGGAGATATTGTACTATTTCACAATCAGAGCCTGCTGCATGGTGGTGAAGGAGAGAAACGATTTGAGGAAAATGCGATTTGTCGAGAGATCCAGGCAGAGTACAAAGAAAAAACATGACGTTCAGCGATTCGTCTCGAAACTCGCGCCAATGAAAGCATCGAAATACGCGACGGATATGAATTTCGCATTGCAGGGAATATCGAATGTAAGTATATCTACCAGCCAGTGGCGTAGCTATGGTAGGGCCACCGAACATAAACCTAGAAGGACCACACTAAGCTGTGGACGTCACCAATTGTCATTGAAAACTGAAAAGTGTCAAGACAAATACGAATTTGCTATTCAAATATCCATTTTCTTATGTTGAAAACGGGAGCAGATTCGTTCCCAAAACGTCCACAGCTAAGTGAAAATTTGATATCTTCTTCTATATACCTCTATTTCTCTTCTCCAAACCTTTTTCAATACAGATTGTCTCTGACAAGCTACTGAATTTTTCTTTTAGGCTCTCTGATAGGAAAATTCTGTAAACGCAGTGACATTTCGAGACAAATCATCTGATTTTTCCTTCATTATTTCAAATTTCTGAAATTTTCTCTCCTCGTTTCTATAAAATGAAAATATGAATATTATTTTAATATACGTGTATATACAGTCTGTCCAAGATAAGGTTGAACAGCTGGGTATCTCGGAAACGGTAGGAGATACGAAGTCGCTTGAATAGGGAAAAAGTTGCGCATTCGGAGGCTCATATCAAGAGCCTTCGAAAATTTTGATAATTATATTTAGTTTTTGAGTTATATCGAAAAAAGTGAAAATTGGAATTTCTATTTTATTTTCTCCGTTATTATTAGAGATACAGAAAAACTGAAAATACTTTTTCATACCAACTTTTAATGACGTTTATCGTGGTGATGCCGATTTTCTCATGCAACGTTTCGTATTCTCAAAGGTTTTTTTATTCTGAATTCAACTATGTACTATACAACGTGATTCGAATGTGTTTCGACCTATTTCTATCCATCATCAATGTATTTTCGAACTTCCAAAGGAAAAAAGCCATGAGTTCCACTTATTTCTGATCATTTAGTGTCAAACTCGATGGATTAGTTATTGAATACTGAAAGTGAATGAAAAATATTTCACTACATCATTCGATCAATGCAGCGCTCAGAATTGTTGATGAATTCTTATACGAATTACTTTAACAACTCAACTTTGACAATGCCTACACAGATATTCATAACAAATGTTCAAAATGATAACCATTATTTTCTGAACAAAGATATGCTCTTCTCACAGTTGCTTTCAAGACATTGCTAACCATTTCTGGGGTTATTCTATTGAATGCTTCGATGACACTATCCCTCAGTTCTTCTTCATCATCGAAGTTATTTGTGTGTACAAAGTTCGATATATCCCCTAAGAAAAAATCCAGCTGTGTCAAATCAGGCGACCGCGCCGGCCAAGGGATAAAAACGCACGGACTTCTCTGGAATTATGTACCGGAGCGCCATCTCGTTGAAACCAACAGTTCTGAACTTCCGCAATCGGTAAATCATCCAGAGCTTCCTCAAGATGATTCTCAAGCGAATTTCTATAACGTTCGGAAGTCTGTGTTTCATGGTAAATAGAAGGAACAATAATTCGTGTACCAAATATTGCAACCCACATATTAAAGCCGAAACGGTGTTGGTGTCTCGCTGTAATGTAAAAATGTTCATTTTCTTGTGAACAATAATGTGTATTTTTTCTATCGAAGCTACCATGATTAGTGACCATGCTTTCATCAGTCCAGATGATTGTTCGAGGGAAATCTGCAAAATTTTAACATTTCCTGGTATACCACTCACAGAATGTCCTGCGCCTTTCGTCATCGCCTGGTTTTAGCGCTTGACATATTCTGAATTTTTTTGGACGGAATTTTTGTTTTCGCAAAATGTATAATACATGGTTGAATTAAAAATAAAAAAACCTTTCAGAATCTGTGAAAAAATTATCAGGACCGTATTCAAAAAACAAAAGTTGATGATGGTTCCACGAATACGAAACGTCGAATAAAAAAATCGGTATCACCACGTTGAACGTCATCAAAAGTTGCTATGAAAAAGTATTCTCAGTTTTGCTGTATCTCTAATAATAACGGAGAAAAAAAAATAAAATGGATATACCAAAAATTCACTTTTTTCGATATAACTCAAAAACTAAAAATAATTTTGAAAATTTTTGAATGCTCTTGATATGAGCCTCCGAATGCGCAGCATTCAACCGACTTCGTATCTCTTACCGTTTTCGAGATCCCCATGCCGTTCAACCTTATCTTGGACAGACTGTATATAAGCAAGACAAGGTTAGTTTATTTCATCGTACCAGTATATCACCTGACGAAGCTACTGTGTTAGCAAAACATGTCGTGTGTTTGAGAATTTTGTGGAAATCTTATCGTTTGTGAAGTTTTTACATTTTTCGAATTTGAAACTTATACAACGACTCGCCATTGTCAGAAATATACATTCTCAATTTTTTTTTTCTTTTCCTAATCATCAATTACCTTCAGCTCTAGGGGTGGAAATTTGTGTCAATTAACTAGGGCCCAATCAGCCCTCGTTGCACGGGGGCCCCGTTACCTCTCGCTACGCCACTGCTAGGTACTAGCTGTGAATAAGAAGTTCAGGAATTCCTTTCTAGCTCCGACTAATACATATCACATATGAAATGCATTCATAATTCAAATCAGAATTTCCCAATAGAAGCTCACTCAAAGGACATTTTTATGATGTTGGAAGGTATAGGTACATTACATTCACAGAGATCCACTCTGGATGATATGAATGATACTGAGTGCGTTTTTCATATTCAATTATTATGCACTGTGAAAAATGAGGATGAGCAGAAATGAACGGTGATCCAAGTAGGCAGAGCTGAACAAATACTTCGGAACATGTATTCAATAATTGAGTATTTAAAACATGAATACGGTACAAATCATTCAAAACGTGATTAGGAACAAACTTTTGTGCAGTCAAATATTTATACTCCTTGCATACGTTAGGTGAAAGTTGTTGTGTTGAACCAACTACACCTTTCTGCTGAAATTCAATTGACTATTCTGAAATACAATGACGCTTTCTGAAATACAAGTGACTATTCTGCAATACAATTGACGCTTTCTGAAATCCAATTGACTATTCTGGAATACATTTGATGCTTTCAGAAATACAAGTGACTATTTTGAAATACAATTGACGCTTCCTGAAATACAAGTGACTATTCTGCAATACAATTGACGCTTTCTGAAATTCAATTGACTATTCTGGAATACATTTGATGCTTTCTGAATTACGAGTAACTATTCTGCAATGAAATTGACGCTTTCTGAAATCCAATTGACTATTCTAGGATACATTTGATGCTTTCAGAAATACAAGTGACTATTTTCAAATACAATTGACGCTTCCTGAAATACAAGTGACTATTCTGCAATACAATTGACGCTTTCTGAAATCCAACTGACTATTCTGGAATACATTTGATGCTTTCAGAAATACAAGTGACTATTTTGAAATACAATTGACGCTTCCTGAAATACAAGTGACTATTCTGCAATACAATTGACGCTTTCTGAAATTCAATTGACTATTCTGAAATACATTTGATGCTTTCTGAAATACAAGTGACTATTTTGAGATACAATTGACGCTTCCTGAAATACAAGTGACTATTCTGTGATACAATTGACGCTTTCTGAAATTTTATTGACTATTCTGAAATACATTTGATGCTTTCTGAAATACAAGTGACTATTTTGAAATACAATTGACGCTTCCTGAAATACGAGTGACTATTCTGAAATACAATTGAGGTTACAAGTGACTATCCAGAGATTGACGCTTTCTGCAATACAACTACAGAAGGTGTAGTGTATTGATGACGATAAATGATCGATATACTTTAACGTACAGCTGATGACAGCTCTGTTCGATTGATCATTATGTCTTTGCAATGATGCTTATATTCTCAGAATATTACATTTCCTCAACGTAATAATGTAACTGTGCATATTGTGAATAAATAGTCCAAGAGTCGGCTGCACCTGTGCCAATCACTATCCTGAGCAAAATTATTGATATATTGCACTTTCCTGTGCGGAAATTTGCACTGGATTTTGCGATTTGATATCGAGATGAAAATTATGCCATCCGATACAAATTTCGGCTACGCCTCGTTAAAAGAATCAGATCTTGATCACCAAAGTAGCATTTCGCGCTCTAGATACAAAAATAACTAATCTTGCCTTTTCACCATAAGTAGTATACAGCGCCATACATGGCCATAAGTAGCCAGTTTAGTGTGGTTTGTACCTTCGCCATAAATACAACATTATTTGAAATTTTGGTGAAGGCGTCGGATGATGAGTTCGCAGATTTACTTCTTCGCACGCAAATAGCGGAGATTCAGATGAGTCTTTGAATACAGAAAAGGAACTTTGCTCACAGGGAAATGACTGTGGAAAAGTACTACTTTGCGCACGCTCGTAGAAAAAGAGATAATGTTGGATTTTCGTTGATATGGTGTAAAAAAGAATGTTTAAAAGGATCTAAACAGATCAAAAAACTCCCTAACAAGAAATGGATTCGACAAAACTACCCAATTCCTGAATATACGGTGACCCATATTGAATGTACAGGGTGGCCAACTAAGAATCCAGAGTTCGATACCTCTGTTGTCTTGAGAGATACAAAAAAAATTCAAGAATCAAAATTGAAGTAATAACCGAGCTTCACATTTCAAATTTTCTTTGAAATACACAGGGTGTTCCGTACGGTCACAGCACATCAAAGCTATGTTTTTTTCATCGGAACACCCTATATTTTATTCCATTTTTGAATTCTCCCTGACGATCTGATTTCAACGACGTATCATACTTAGGGTCTAGCAGTGAAAGTTACTGACATATAGGGTGTGCAAAATCGAGATTTTCCAAGTTCAGGATTTTTTTCTGTCGAAACTGTTCATTATTCGTCAAAACGGTTTACATGTCCCTAACTCAACTTTTCACTCACTATCAATTGGTGTTCAATTGACATTCAATTGAAACAAATTATAAATTTAGATTTTTTGACCACCCTGTATCAATTTCAATTGAACACCAATTGATAGTGAGTGAAAAGTTAATATAGGGACATGTAAACCGTCTAGACGAATAATGAACAGTTTCAACAGAAAGAAATCCTGAACTTGGAAAATCTCGATTTTGCACACCCTAAATGTCAGTAACTTTCACTGCTAGACCCTAAGTGTGATACGTCGTTGAAATCATATCTACCGTACGGAACACCCTGTGTATTCCAAATTTTGAAATGTGAAGCTCGGTTATTACTTCAATTTTGATTCTTGAATTTTTTTTGTATCTCTCAAGACAACAGAGAAATCGAACTCTGGAGTCTTATAGTTGGCCACCCTGTACATCAAAAATATATTTTTCATAGAGACAGGGGAAACTCAATATCAGGTTAGGTGTTTATTTCAAGACTCGTCCTTTCCTCTGTTACTGCCGAAAAACTTTTACAGTTCTTAATTTCGTTTCAGAAAATCACTCCAAGTGGAAAAGAAGGGTATCGTCTGAGGCGACCAGCTGACATCATCAAATCACCATATGGTATAGAGTTCCTCAATTAGTGAGATGTGCATCACTAAATACTTTTATAAGTGTCATTATTAACGTGAAGTTCATACTGAAAATTGGTCAACAATTATGAACACGTAAATATTCGCGTTATTATTATCACCTATTCCCAATAAGTGTTTCGTAATGGGGTAATTTACTGCAGTAGCGCGGTACAGAAGGTAAAGAAGGTAGTATAGTGACATAATCAGTTACTTCACTGCACTAGTGCGGTGAGAAATTGTATATGTATAGGTCATACCCAAGTAATGTGCCGCACGCGAAATTTTGTTTGATTTCAATGTCGAATGTATTGGTATATGTATAGGAACTCCATATAAAATTATCTGAATATATAAAAACAATAGGAAGAGCAAGTGGAATGAAATTATTCAAAAACTCAGCTTATGTAGCAATCGAGTAAAGTAAGGATTTCATTTATTTGATGCCCAATCAATATATTGTTCACCAATAAATGTATTCTGTATTTTTTTTTCATATGTTGAATGATCAAGAATGATTTTGGGAATAATTGAAAAAATTACTACTCTATGTACATTTTTTATTAATCGGTATGAAAAACTATGCATTCATTAGAGACAAATACATTTTTTATCAACAATATCAACAACAACAAACATTTTCAACTTCCAAAATATGCCTACCTACTGATTCATAAGTACAGGGCACACAAAAGGGGTGAATAAATACAACCACCCTGTGTATACATATACTTCACTGGTAATAATGATAAAATAAATACTTTGAACAAATAATATATACACTACTAAGCTTATGCAATAGTCACTCATAATTAATCAGTGATCATTTCTTATTTACAAGTCCAGTACAAAAAACATTATTTTACATATTTGACCTAAAATCACGTAGCACCGCAACATATTGAAAAACATCACTCAGCATTGTACTTTCATTCACATAAAATTAATAATAAATTAGACTATTTTGTACAGATGATTTTTGCTCATCAATCAATCCGATTTTTATTGCCAGATATTTTTTTGTAATATTTCCACGGAATAAATTACATGTTTACATTCACATTCAACATCATGGCTAAGCATACAAACACTTTATGCAAAATGAACATAAAACACTCGGATTGAAAATTATAAGGCACTTTTCTGTGTCTCGAATTTAGGGGTATGTAGGGTGAACAAGTTTACTCATATTCTATATGGGAATCGATAAAAATCGATGAAATACTGTCATCTTTTCCTTTGAACATATTGTATCATCATTATCTAACTTTTCACTGAAATGGACGTCGTTTCGTTCCTTTTGTATATCAACAAAATTGGAATATTCAGGCTTTTTCCTATATTCCCTATATCTCATAAGGAATTGTTTCAGGACATTATGTATTTCATCGAATTATACAGGGTTTTTTACGATGCGCGATAATTGACATTATCTGAACGTCTCAAATATTTCAAACGATGCCGCGTTGCCGCTTCTACTAGAAAGTGTCAGCAACTTTGATATTTCGAATGGAACACCCTGTATTTCATTGCATTTTCATATTCTCCCTGTATTGCTGGTATGATCAATGGATTATTCTTGGGGTCTATCGGGAATGATTACAGAGATATAGGGTGTTCAAAATCGAGATTTTTCAGCTTTCAGATTTTTTTTGTGTAGAAACTATTTATTTTTGGTCAAAATGGCTCTTATGTCCCTATCTTAACTTTCGAGCGACGAGCTCACAATATCTCAATATCGAGAATCATTCGGGAGAAATCCATGAAAATATGCATGCTAATATTTTAGAATACTCTCTCTTCATTTGAGATATTTTCAGATCTGTAGTGTGTTGCCGCTTCTATCAAAAAATAGCGAACAACTTTGTTATTCCAAATAGAATACCCTGTATTTTATTGTATTTTCAGAATCTCCCTGAAGAGCCGATTTCATCGATTCATCATACTTGGGGTCTATCGAAAATGATTACATTTCATATTTAATCGGAACAGATACAGGGTGATCAGAATTCTGAATCTTGAACCACCCTGTATCTGTTCTGCTTGAATATCAGTAAATAGTGAATCAAAAGTTGAGATAAAGACATGCGATAATGAATAGTTTCGACACAAAAAACTCCTAAAGTTGAAAAATGTCGATTTTGCACACCACATATCTCTGTAATCATATTCGATAGACCCCAATTATGATATATCGACAATATCAAAATTTTCAGGGAAAATCTGAGAATGCGATGAAATACAGGGTGTTCCATGTGAAATATCAATGTTGCTACTACTTTCTAGTAGAAACAGCAACACTGCATTGTCGAAAGTATTGTGAAGATCTTCCAACTGATTCTCGATATAAAGTTAGTGTAAGTTCGTCGTGACATACCCTGTATACTGAACATGGAACGAATACAGGGTGGTCCACGATTTCTGATCACCCTGTATCTGTTAATAAATAGTTTCGACACAAAAAAATCGATCAATCAATGTAATCAAATCCGCTAGTCCCCAAGTGTTATACATTGATGAAATCAACTCTTCAGGTAAACTATAAAAATGCAATGAAATACAAAGTGTTCTATTCGAAAAATTAACTTTCTAGTAGAAGCGCCAACGCCGCATCGTTCAAAATATTCGCGTGTGTAGATCATGTCAATCTATACGTACCATAAAATTTTCAGATTCATCTGTTGCTTGGTTCGTCATCGTGAAAAACCCTGTATACCTTCTATTATTGGGATATATAAGTCGTTAAATCTGGATCACCCTGTATACCTGGTGTCAATAAAACTATCATACAAGTCCTAATTCGGTGGAGATATCTGAAGACGAGTTTTCGCATATTTTTCACCTTCTGGTCACTTTTGGTTTCACCGGAAATAGCTCCGGTTTCGAATCTTCGAATGGAACACCCTGTATATTGGTATCATTTTTTTGAATTTTAAGCAATTCCCGATCAGAATGTGACATTTCCAAAAGTTTTTACACCTGCTTTATTCTTTTAGTCACTTTTAATATTGCATCTACAGGGTGTATCTGAATAACACCGAGTGGGGTGATTCCTTGTGATATTCCAGGAAATGAAGTTCATATAAACATGTATCCTATTTTGCCTGGTTTTCGAGATACAGGGTATTAAAATGTCCTCCATCCTCCATCCATTACTCCATTGTCGTTCTATCAATTCCAATAAAACGTTGTGGTTTTGTTAATATTAATATGGAGCTCCTTCTGGTACAATTAGATTCGGAATAATATACCCAGTGGCGTCACAGTGGGTAATTTTATCAATATTTATGGTGAATGTCATTGTACTCCACCGGTATTTCTGAGTTTCATGTTTTCATGTTTTCATAACTATTGAAATAGCAACTTTTTTATACCTTGTGTAATTTTTGTATCTAGCTTAATTTTTGAGGAAACAATAAAAATTCGATTTGACTTCAAATTTCAATGTACGCGTTTTCTCAAGACTTCCATCGAGATTACTCATCAACCCCAATTAGAATCTTTTTGAAATTTTGGGGCTTTCTAAGTCTCCAACCATATTGAATTCTGGCACCATGATAGCTTATATATAGGGGGTTATAAATGAAAACAATTGATACTTCCAACTTCAAAATCCTGTATCTCAAAAACCGAGCAAGTTAGGACACATGTTTATATGAGCTTTATTTGCTAGACTAGTGAAACCGGAAATTATCGAAGAGTAAAAATATGTCTGGAGTTATGACTTGTCTAATAGATATGTTATCATCCGTTAGATATGTAGTATAACTCAACAAACAAATCATAATCATCTTCAATCCTGATAAAAAGAGTATTGAATATGAAGGCTTCAGGCGATTGATACCCAGCTGTACCTTCATATCATCATTTAAACATTCCTTGAAAGGATATGGGCTATTATGGACAAGATGAATCCCTGTTTTATATCTGTCCAATGATCTCAATACCAAGTATCGCCAAATATCCATCGTATCTCACGAGCTACAGATACAATCTTGGACAACATTGAATCGGTAAAAACCGCTACCGATCCCAAATACCACATTTTGAAGCTGAAGCTATCGCTAGCTACCAGAACCAACTGAACCGAGAGCTTCGCCGCCGCGAACCTGTCACTTATCGGTCGCGTTGGGATTCGTGTAGCTGAATCCCTGGAACTGGGATTGGTCCATGGATTGCAAAATCGTGGTTTCGATGGGCGTGAGCTTCGCTTTTTCCACGGTGAAGTGTTTGTCGAAGTATTGAGTGTCCAAAGGATGTTGCTATTAAAAAAGAAATGGTCAATAATAATGGTCAAACCTACTTCTGGAAAATAATGATTGCAATAAGAACATTCCATATAATTATACAATAGAAATTCACGCTACTAGGTAGGAAACGCGTCATTTTGTAAAACGATAGGAATTTGCTGGACGAGCGTAGTGCTTCGGCACTAGAGATTGTATAGTACTGTGTTTCATTACGATTGTATGTGACAGAATCACTTTTGATCCAAATGAAACATGCTATTTTCAATGCAATCGAAATAATTCTACTCAGATGGCGTTTGTCTCATATTGTATATGGAAGACGCCTCTAAGGGAATATTATGCCGACTTGATTTCTGTTTGGCTAGGCTACACTCAGACGGCGGTCCTAGGTCTGCTGGCTGGAGACTGCCCTGCACTGATGCGAGTCAAAGAGCTCGAAACCGGTCTGTGGGTGTCTAGCGTGGCCTGGCTGAATCGAAATCAATAGGCATTCAGGAAAGAATCACTTGTATCAGTTTTCGTTTATATGAGTAGATGCATTTTTTTTCGTCAATTGAAAACTTCTCATTCATAAAGGTTAGTGGAATTCATGTATCTTATGGACTGGACACATCTACAACCAATATCACTGATACGACCTCGTGGGTTGCATGCAATTGCATTGTATTATGTTCTCAATTCCCATTCCCTTCGAATTGATTTGTGGGTTAGCGGGTAGGTCGGTCTAAATTTCAGAATTATGGAAACTTGTTGAAGACAGGAATTATGATTTCGTAGAAAAAGTATATTATGTAACGCGTTCATAAACTTTTCTAGGCACCCGTTTATTAAACACTGCGCTCGTGCTCAAGATACTCGTTACTAGAAGGACGTTTATAGCACTTGTCACATAATATGCAATTTGGTTCAAGTTTTGTGTCAGGATAGACTCACCAGATTCGGTTTGAAGGGTGCCTCTAACTTCCTGGCTTCTAGCGCACACCAATCTATGCTCCTGAAGAACGGCTGATCCTGAATATCCCCATGAGGAGAAAACCTGTTCCCCAATCGTTTACTAGCATCTTTCTCCAAAAACTAGAAAAAAGTAGATGGTTTATTCATCTCGAATACAAAAGACTAGAATATCCAATCGTCCCTGCATTTTGGAATCAAAACTATCAAAAACCTCGATGAAAATCTAGACCCTAAATATCATGTTCTCGTTGATGACTCGAGTAGTATAATCCGAGGCAGTAAAAATTGAAGAAAAAAACACGCCCCAATAGCCCAAACTTGTAGTCACCTCCACCCCATTTTCATGACATATAGGCATTACCCACAACCATTAATTTCGAAAGAGATTTGAGAAATGTAGCAATATACTCCTTGCAATATTTAGGCATCTTCGGAAACTACCTCATCATCAACACTGTTTATCAACAAGATCCAAATAGTTCAGGTGACGAATCACTCAGATCTGCTTAAAATCACCTACCCAGATGATATAGTTTACAATGGTATTAGGTAACGGACTCTGGCGTGCCATGGGTCTGAATCTTTTGCTGGGTCACTCAAGGTTGGATCTGAAAACATTGGATGCAAACTCGTCTTCGTTTAGGAGAGTATGTATTCATTCATTTCTCCAGATGACATCAATGATTGTAATATCTCCTTCTCCATCTCATCATCCTTATCTCATAATTCATCATCATCAAGACAATTGTCGAAGCGTCATGCTGCTATTGTTTGGAAGATGCAAGTTTCCTTTCATTCATGACCTTCATTCAGCTCGAACATCTCACAAAATGAAACCAAAATAGAATAAGTAAAACAAAATGGTAAATTTTCTTCATTTGATAATGCACACAATGTAGATTCTGCTGACCTGTTTTTGATCAAGGTCACTAAAGACCAACACGATAGTGATCGATTAGGCAACACCGAAGTTCAAGAACACGGTTATGCAACTCGGGTTAGGTAAACGAACGTGCAGGTGGAGGATCAAGTCAACCAGAGGAGGTTTCCGGAAAGGCTTTATTATAATAACGAATTCACCCACGAACAATTCATTCCAAGCACCACCTCTATTGCCCCTCTGAGAACCCTACCCACAACTTCTAACCTCGCCTAAGCTACGCCCTTTCCCACCTGAAATCCGCCTATCCCTCTCTAAGCTCCGCCTCCTAGGGTGCTAGTGGTGGGGGGTGTCCAAGGAAACGCCATGACTACTACTACTCATTCATCATAAAACAATATTTATCCATAGCAACAATCGAATACAATAGACTTATTCCAGAATTATATTGTTGTATACTACAAAGGTTCGGAGTTAAATAGTTTGTACAGGTTAATTCAAAACTTCCCGCCCTTGGCTCAAACCAGGAGAAGAAAAACTGCAAATGCAGAATTGGTAGGAGGATGTTAGGTATATTTTTTCGTATTCAAACATTCCTCAGTCTGTTTCAAAACGGCGGAATGGTGTCAGTTAAGTTATTTTTCCCACATTCACAATTCTTTCCTCATATTCTTGAAGAACATATTCCTCAAACAACTTTTATCCAATAACTTTTTCGTATCTCCAGTTGGTTGATAGCTCTGAGAATCTAAATTTGGCATTTTCAAATAAATCTCAACTAACCCCACTGTAATAATAATCAAGTCGGCCGGAAACAAATTGTTTTGTAAGCAATATGAATTGGGATACGAGAATAGAAAAAATCTTCTCGGATGAAAGTTGATCAAAAAAATATGTTCTCTCAGAATATTAGAAGAATATAGTGACTTTATGAGAAACATATTTCTTGTGACGTCATTTCGAAAAAGGTTGAAATATATTTGAATACGAAAAAATATAACTCACACACAGCTATTCAGATCCCCTCTGCCAAATTTGTATCTGCAGTTCTCCTTTTCCTCTTATTAGCCAAGGGAAAGAATTTTGAATCACCCTGTACATTGTGTATAAGCAATATCAGAGAACTGCGACTATACCGAATGGAAAAATAAAAGTCCTAGTAAAAGTCTATAACATGATGATGACAAAATAGTATATAATCAGAATCCAAGCGCAGATCGTAATCGTCAGAATCGTACTCAACCAGAATCGTAAGACAATAAGTTGAAAATCGTCAGAACAGTAAAATGTCGGAACCCTACATTGTCAAAATCGTACAAACTTTGAATGGTATCTTGTCACAAACGCAAATATTAGAACCGTAAATTGACAGAAGCATGTGATGTACATCCAGTGTTACATCACATGTTCCAGATATGAATCAATAATAATAATAATGAATTCGATTTATCTCTGACTGATATCCAACTCAGAGACAGATTTCTGTTCCCTACTCGCATGTTATAACCGACATCATCGGGAAAACCTCGATATCGTCTAAAACAAACAGTCCTCTCGATTCAAGCGAAGGCAAACAAAGGCACGAATAGACTACGAAGAGAATATAATCCTTGTGTTTTGAGATCTTCAAGTGCTCTGGGTCCTGGGTGTTGGATATCTGGGAATTAGGGAGCTGTCAAATACAGGCCGATATAATGTCGCTTGTTCTCCTATCTTTCCACGTTCTTCCGTTTTACTAGACTCATGGGGGGGCCACGACCATATCAGAAAGTTTTAACCGCTAGACTAGACACTAGACGACACTCACGTCTAAGTAGTAGGAGTCACAAATCAAAAGGCACATTCTAAATAGCGTATTCGACTGGATTGCACTGACACGGTGTGGATGCAAGTAGATGGGTAGTTAGCACTGCACTGATTCCGGATAGTATTCATTTAGTTCGAATCGATCTGGAGCAGATCATAATATAGATAATGGAAATTAGAGTCCCTATGGATGGTACTACTTAGATAAGAGTTCGGACACAGCTCAACTTCTGTTTGTCTATTTTCTATACCATAAAGGTTTGAGTAAATAAAAGAATGAGACAAATATTCTGCTCATTGTCTTTTCAATTTCCCTAGTAGCGCCCGATCGTCGGATACCATTTTAAAGGTTAGATTTTCTGTCAAATCAATCATTGCCGTAGATGGCGAAGATGAATAATGGAAATAGGGTATAAACGCCCACTTCAATTTATTGTCACGAATAGGGTTATTTTTCTTAATTTCGTTCAAAGTCATAGAAGGTTCGAAGTCATTGAACGGTCAGGTCTTTGTTTATTAATTCCAAAATTTTCGAATCGTGAACGAACTTTTTTCCATAGCACTGCCTGCTCCTTTGATCAAGTAGCTATTTTGGCCTGATGTCACTCCAATTCCTGTCGTGTCAAGTTTGATTGATGGGTATGGTTCACGCAGAAATTAGCAAGATGAGCCGTTTTAGCAAAATTTCGTCTGAAGAAACCACGAGAATATGAGAAAATCAATTCAGCAAACTTTCCAGTTACACGGAATCATCAATAAAGGTAATCATTATCGTTGTTTATATGTATATTGTCGTTGATTTATCTTGTCAAAAAAAATCGAACTCTTCTTACAATTGGATGAATTTCCTTACTAACTCAAACAGATTCCATCATTTATTTCTCTCGAAAAACTTACATTAGACAAAATTGCTCGACCTACGGTCTCACAATTTTTTCATGTCAGTTTTTCTCGTGAAATTACTGATCGGCAAATGTTTTTCGTTACCAAGAGGAAATTCATCTGATAAAAAAAAGCTCTTGTGTTTTTACTATTGACAAAATAGACTCATGTATGGATATACTCACTTATAGCTATAGCTCCTTATTATTGTATATAAAACTGTGTTTGAAAATGGGCCTAAAATATAGTTGTTTCATTTTAATCTGCTGTTATAATGAGTAACTTCCAATGTATGTAACTACCTCACTAATTTCACTAGTCTTCAAATTAATTTTCCATCCAGTCCGTTTCGTATACATTCCTTCCATAATGAGAGAGAATGGTTGATATTTCCTTTGGTAAATTGAATAAATCAAATTTCCATAACTCATTACAAAGCAGAACTTTTACATATATCGAAGACTGGAACCTTTGGCACGATAATACACTACACTGTTTTACCACTAACCAAACCGATTTTTTAACGCCTCGACACGTGTTTCGCTAACATAGTTAGCGGAACCTAACTAACTATGTTAGCGAAACACGTGTCGAGGCGTTAAAAAATCGGTTTGGTTAGTGGTAAAACAGTGTAGTGTAGAACTTTTACATTCATACTTTTTTCTCAATAGTTTATGAAATCATATCTCAATTCTGACGTTTATAAAATGTTTTGTTAAATTCAAACAATTTTTAATGGGAAAGTGCGAAACGACTATTGTGCTCTTGTCACAATGCAAGGTGTGTAACTTAATGAATTCAAACATTCAAAAACACTAATAGCGAATTCCGATCGAAAACCTGGTGGTGCACTGGTTTTGCACCAGTTTTGCACCCACACTTCTTTAGTTCTCTCCAAAATATGAACTGGTGCTTCCCAAATGGAATACGAAATGATATTATAGTAAATATTGAGAGGTTAGATCGAATAAGTTGGTTTGTCTTTGTTTATAACTTGTCCGCATCCTGAAATTATTTCTTAACTCCAATTGAAAACAAAGTTGATGGTTCATGTGGAAATAATTTTGAGCACTTTATTTTTTAATAAGTGCCTCTTCATCATTGAATTGACAAAATATCTACGAGAAAATTATGAATTCTGGGAAGTAATCTTCTTTATTTTCTTGAAACTTCCAACTTTCACTATTTGATGATGATGATTGGATTGCCACTAACAATTTGGTTTTCAAACTATTCATATTCAATGTTTCCGCCATTTTCAAACTGCACTGACTTCGCACGACCTATTAGAGCTCGTGCGAGAATTGTTGTATTGAGCTCTAAACCAGTTTTCCAATGGAATTCAAAACCCGACACCAGTTTTACCAATGGAATACAAAGTATGCACTCACTGCAAGCCAGTTTTACCAATGGAATTCGTTATAAATAATGATGGTAGCCTACAATTAGTTAGTAACAACTTGCCCCATCCACAGCTTTGCAGATGATAGTACCCTCCATTCTGCGTTCTCTTCCAGAATGCCCATTTCTTCCCAGGAAACTAAGAATTCACGGCGCAGGCAGGTCAATGCTGTCAATGAAGATCTTGCTGAAATCACAGCCTGGGGAACAAAGAACCTAGTTGAATTCAACGCCACCAAAACTCAAGCCTGCATTTTCTCTAGAAAGGCGGAACTCAGTATGCCCGATATTGTAATGTCTGGCTCCACCATTCCCACCAAGCCCACCATATCTATGCTCGGTATTTCCATCAGCAACACTCTTTCATGGGATAATCATGTCAGATCCATCGCAAAAGCTGCTTCACAAAAACTTGGAATCTTGTTCCGTGCGAAAAGCTACTTTACACCTCAACAGCTTCTCATGATCTACAAAGCGCAGATACGGCCTGTTCTAGAATACTGTTCCCACATATGGGGTTCAGCACCAAAACATACGCTGATGCTCTTAGATTCCATCCAGAGAAGAGCCATTCGCCTGGTGAGTGACGCCACACTCACTCACTCTTTGACATCATTGGAACACCGTAGAAAGGTCGGCGACCTTCCACTTTTCTATCGATACTTCCACGGGAAATGTTCTTCGAAAATCTCTGCTATCATCCCTTCACTAGCAATACCAGTCAGACGAACTAGACAAGCCCAGTCAGCACATCCTTTCGTTGTCAACCTCGAAAGATGTCGAACAGCACTTTATCAAGACTCCTTCATCCATAGAACGGCTAGGCTCTGGAATTCATTGCCTGTGGAAGTATTCCCAACAACAAATAATCTCCAGAAGTTCAAAAAAAAATCCAATACCCGCCTCCTGTCCCTATCCTCCCTAGGAACGCACGATGTTCTTTGAACATTATAGGGATTCCCTTTCGTGCGCTCCAAGCGATAAAAAAAAACAATCGCCCACATTTTACCCTGAAATGAAAATCATCGAAATAGCTCATTAAATAAAACTTGATTCCAAGGCCAGGACTGTATGAATATTCTCTCAAATCCTAAATCTTCTTCATTTTTACCTTGAAAAAACTTATGAATTTCTAGATAGATAGATAACTTACCAATGTTAAGATGTTAGTTGCTTCGGTGGATAGATATCTGGGTAGAACAGGCTTTTCGTTGCATATGGACCAGAACAGTTCATCTTCATCGCAGCCGCTGAAAGGTGATTGGCCTAAAAGCATTTCGTACAATAGTACTCCGAACGACCACCAATCCACGCACTGGTTATAGTGCTGCCCCTTGATGATCTACAACAAAACACAGAGTTACAGACTTACAATGTGTTGTTTTTTCTGCAACCGACACGAAAGTCGTCCATTTTAATACCGAAATTAGCTCTTGAATTGACGTTTCTGATACTGACACAAACATAGGTATGTTGCCAATCACTATCCTGCAAAATGATTGAAAAATGGCACTTTCCTGTACGTTAATTTGCAGTCAATTTCGCAATTTGAAAACGAGATAAGGATTATGCCATCCATACTGTCCCCTTTTGCCCCCATCCGTGGCGCCGCCACTGATCCTATCGTATTCCTCTACCGGAAAGATCAAGGAAGAAATTGAATCTCGAGGTAAAATAAATATTCAGAAAATGTATGTTGTTGCGACAAGGTGATTTATTATACCATTCTCCAATTTATCTGTAATTAGGGAAGCTGTATCTCAATTTCTTGATTTATTCATTCAGTCAGAACGTATTGAAAAAACAATACCGTTACTGGGTAATTTTGCACCTTTGTTGTATTTTTTTCGAAATATTTCTTGATACTCACGTATTTTCGTCTGGAAAACACGAATTTGATAATAATAATGTGAACAAATCATTATTAATTCATTAAGATATTTCACTATAATATTTATTTATGCAACAAGTGCAAAAAATGAATGTTTATTGCACTCGATGTGAAATTATCCGACGAGGCCGTTAGGCCGAGTTGGACAACACGTCGAGTGCAATAAACAATTTTTGCACGAGTTGCATACAACATTTTTTCTTCGTTCATGCAAAAAGCAAAAAATGATTTATTGAGGTGTGGCACTAGGTGTAGGAAAATGAAAAACGCAACTTGAATACTTTATTATTAATATCCATTTGCATTGAAACAGGAACTAATACGTTACGAACAAATTAACTCAAACTTTATTTTCACCCTCAATGTTGAAAGTGAACGAACAATTGGTGCAATTTTCAATATGAATATAAAAATGTTTGTCATGATGACAGCACGTTGAAGTAGAATGACAGATGAGTGCAATAAAGAACTTCTTTTTCCACCAAATATAGTTCAATAAAGTTCTGCTTTTTGCATGAATGTAGAAAAAGTTACAAATTTCACCTTCTTTTCCGCCTGTCTTTTGGATCGCATTTACAACAATTTGCCCTTCTTCTTTCATCATTGGACAATTTATATATCACGATGTACTTCAATAACACATTTTTTTTAAATATGAAAGTGAACTAGGAATATGATTTTCTTGCGCTCTATCCATATTTAGTCATATTTAGTGAAAAAAGGAAGAATATCATTTAAAATAATGGCCTGTGTACGTCATTCGAATGCAATCTGTTGACATTTGACATCTCGTATTTGGATTGATTATTGATTGGATGGCTGTCACCTGGTATGATTGTTGACTAAATATACAAAATTAAAAAGATCAAGTAGCCGTGAACGCATCCAAGACAGGGGGAAAAAAGGAGGCAAAATTTCGAACTTTTTTTTAGATATATCGATAAATGGTGGTTTGTTCACATTTTCGTTATCAAATTCGTGTTTTCTAGACAAAAATACGTTGGTAACAAAAACTGTTTTTGATAAAAACCCATCGCATGATATGTGCAAATTTACCCGTATCTGTTTACCAATGACAGATATGCGACCATAAAGTTATCGAAACTGCCGTTCTTAACAAAAACCTCTTAAACCATCAGAGCCATTATGGAAAATTCATCTTGTTGTTGTAGCTCTATATATAGGAAAGCATTTATACTATCCGCAGTATATCCACAACCATACAAAATGCCCGAAACAGATTGAAAACGTAATTAGTTTTCGTAACTGCAAGTAGATACGATGCCAAACGAAACAAAACAAAGTGAACAGTTCCATCATGTTTCATAGAAGCACCGAAAACAGAGATATGCAGGTCTTTTCATTAGAATTCATTATTGTACGTCAACGTATCTGCTTTATATATTATATAGTGGACTACTGGACTGATAGTGGATAATTGGCATTCAATTACTCCACGTGAGTCCACTATGTCGTTATGGACCTGAATCAATTTTTGTGTTGCGAAAATTAAATCATGTAAATAATGTGTCTATGTGTTTTCCGAAATTGTTGAATTTTGAATCTCATTTCAAACGTGCCGTCATGGCAGCCATTTGGCAATGTTCTGAGATAGGTCTAATGAATGGTGACGTCAGTTTCTATGCTGTTTCGTTATTGGTCTGATAATCTTCCATTTACACTCATGAAGCAAGTTTGTCAAGTCACAAATTATAATAAAGTTATTAAAAAGTTGCTAGGGTCCTGTCGTTGAATGAAACTACATCCAAATTGTATATTTCATTCGACCTAATAGGAGGGAGTCATGATATTGTAGTCATTCATTTGTCGAAATATACTGAAAGCTGAGAACTGACAAGACAACTCACACAACCCTTGCCGTGTTGTACCGTTTACTGGACTAAATGTCCTATATAGTGTGAATTGATATGATTTTTATTCACACAAAGCATGCAATAAGCCACAACATACAGTGTGTCCCACTTACCATGCTCACCATGGGTATCTTTTTAACGGTGAGAGATACGAGGTCGGTTAAATGACACCAAATGTGGAGTTTGTCAAGGCCAACTATAATGTGAAAAAATATTTTGATAAAATCTATTCGTTTTTGTTTTATACGCAAAAAACAGATTTTGATCATTTTCATGTCTCCTCCGTAACTTCTTTATTTATGAAAATATTCAAATAGGAATTTCACATTCTCATGGCAGTTTTTCAAAGTGATTTCGAAAAATATATGAAATTTTTACCAACTCTTCTAGAATTTGAGATATCAGCACAAACTTTAGTTTTTCAAATGTAGGTCAAAGCTCACTATGACTTAGTTACAAATAACTTTTTTTTCTCTTACAGATGATATGTCGCAGTAATAGTATCATATTTTTGTTGAATTAAAAAAAATGGCTGCTCCAAGATGGCGGACAAGATTTGGTCCGATTCCATTCAAAATTGGTAAGTGGGGGTTTTTGAAGTCGGAGATTATGATTTTTTTGTTAAAATTCATAAATTCAAGATGGCGGCTTCCAATCAATTTTTGTTTTTGTATAAATGACGATAACTCCGTTGTTATCAACACAAAACTATTACTGCGACATATCATCTGTAAGAGAGAAAAAAGTTATTTGTAACTAAGTCATAGTGAGCTATGACCTACATTTGAAAAACTAAAGTTGGTGCTGATATCTCAAATTCTAGAAGAGTTGATATAGGTACATTTCATATTTTTATCAAAATCACTTTGAAAAACTGCCATGAGAATGTGAAATTTCCATTTGAATATTTTCATAAAAAAAGAAGTTACGGAGGAGACACGAAACTGATCAAAATCTGTTTTTTGCGTATAAAACAAAAACGAATAGATTTTATCAAAATATGTTTTCACATTATAGTTGGCCTTGACAAACTCCACATTTGGTGTCATTTAGCCGACCTCGTATCTCTCACCGTTAAAAAGAATAAAAGATACCCATGGTGAGCATGGTAAGTGGGACACACTGTATAAGGAGAAGCATCTTATAGTCTATTGAGGATTACTGAATAACTAATGCTTCTAAATTCCCGATATTATTTCAACATATGGTAACTAGTATCTCATATCACCATGGCAATGCGAAAGTAAGAACAAACAGTGCGGCAATGACAATATTCCCGCACGATCACGTGCTCTTTGTTTGGTATATATACATATAATGTACCTATGGATGATTATAATACTGAATTATTATATTTTAATACTTATTCATTGTACATACATTCATTTTCGTTCTTACATGAGAACAGATAATTGTTTAGGTTTCGGTATTTGTCATTATGTCTTTTGTCATGATCGACGAGACATAACCTCATTGCTGTCAATGCTGTCATTGCTGCCTACACCGTCGTGACTCGGCACTCTGCTGCCTTTTTGGTTGCGTGGTTACGAGGTGCGTTACTAGGTAGCACTCGACCAAGCTCTCGACAACGAGGGAAATCTTGAATTCAATAAAAAATATGATTTTCATACGTATTACTTTCAATTCTCATTCTTTGGAGAGAAATACTGATTCATTCACCAAATCATTAGTTAGATTTATTTTAAGATAGATAAAGTTAAGTTAAGTGACAATAAAAACAATTGAATGTTTGAAATTTATATTCGTCTTTTGTGTTCTGGATTATATATTTATGGTCGTAGGAATAATTGTGCAACTCGTTGAAAAGTGTATTTCATGCACTCGTTACATAAATATCACTCGTGCGAAATATGTCAGTTTCCACACTATAGTTATGTTATACACTATTTCGAAGCTTGAAAATTTCGACGTGATAGGCCGAAAATTATGAATGATTTCGACAGCTTCTCACTAGTTACAAGACATTGAATGAAGTATATCACAGAAGTGACAGATAATGCCACAAGAAAGATGTTTACATCAAAAATTTGAGATCATCCATGTCGATCGTCTACTACCTTGATATTTTTGAGCTGTAAAAAAAACATGAGTAGCGTAGAAGCCTGACGCGTAAATTACATCAATACTGCCCCTCATAAATTGGATGAAAATTTTGGGAAAAACAGCGCCCCAGTCTACGCCATTGTACAACATAGCGTCTTTTTTTTCTAAAACAAGTTAACCAAAAAGCGGCAGTCGCGAGATGAAATATATCCGCATCATTCATGACAAACGTTTATAAAATTCCATGTTCGTATGTTTGTTATGTACATACCTCGGGCGCCATGTAATCCGGCGTACCGCAGAAAGTTTCGGCCATCCTGTCAAGGAATATTTGCAATTTGCACATTCCAAAGTCCGCTATCCTTACATGGCCGTCAAAATCCAGAAGAATATTGTCCAGTTTCAGGTCTCTGAAATACAATATGACTCATATTACTTGAAACATTAGTCTTTCAGCGAAATTTGAAACAGATGAGAAACTTAATGCGTGTGTAGCACATATAACGAGTGTGTAGCACATGGTAACACAGATTGAACATGTGATTAGCATGGATTGGACGATCGTGCGTAAAGTAAATCGAATAAGCGTGTATAGTACTGATTTAATGACACAGATCAAACTACAATATAATATGAATCTTGTAACTCGAATGATCAAGCTTCCATAGCAAATTGGTACATGACGAACTAGTGTGGAGCAAATGGTAACACATGCTCATGCGTAGCCCAAATTGAACGGTTGCTTAGCACGAATAGCACAAATTGAAGGAGCTCATAGCATGGATTGAACTGATGCGTAGCGAGTGTGATTAGCACGGATTGAATCTGTGCATAGCTCAGATTGAACGAGTGAGCGGAATGCAGATTAAACAAGCGGATATAGCACCGATTCAATGCTTAGCGCAGATTAAACAAGTGCGAAGCACGAAAATATAATATGAATCTTGTAACTTGAATGAGCGATTTTTCGAACGAATTGAAACAGATGGAAAGTGGAATCGTGCGTAGCACATTGTGATATTAATTCAATGAATGATTAGTGCGGATTGATCTCGTGCATAGCACAGATTACATGAGTGATAAGGACGGATTGAAATGGTGTGTAACCTGAATTAAGGAAATGATAAGTATGGATTGAACCCAGATTGAATGAGTGTACGTAACGCAGCATAGCACAAGAATATATTATGCATATTGTCCTTTATGAACGAGTGTGTACTACATCGTAACATCTTTCCAACGAGTGATTAGTGCAGATTGAACTTGTGCGTAGCAAAGATTGAACGAAAGATCAGAATGAATTAGACTCATACATATAGCACAGGTCAATCTAGTGATCAGCACGGATTGAATTTGATGATAGTACAGATTGAAGGAGTGATCAGCACGAATAGGACTCGTGTATAGCACAGATTGAATGAGATGTTATCACAGATTGAACTGGTGCGTGGTTGTATAGAATATATGGGAAGAAATAGCAGTACTGATTGAACAAAATAAGACAATTAGGGAACTGCGAAAACGTGAAGCAGAACCCGCAATTTACACTCGTCACGTTGTATGTACATCAGTAATCTTGATCTGTTCTAGTGAGTTCTTCGACTGATGAATGAACCTAAGAAGATTTATGTGCTTGGAATAGAGTCATTACCTTCTTCTAGCTACCCCTATTTCAACGTTATGACATGATATACCGGGTATCAACGAATCTATTAGACAAGTCATAACTTCTAGACCATTAGGTGTATCAACATGAGATTTGGTGTAGGTAAATGGTATGTTGAGAGGAGAGTGTTTTCACATACTTTCGACTTTCCGGTTTCTTCCGGTTTCACCGGAAATTGCTCCGGTTCTAGATTTTTAAATGGAACACCCTGTATATTGTAACATTTTTGGATTTCTGAGACAATTCTAGATCAGAATGTGACATTTCCGAGAGTTTTTATGCCTACTCAATTTTTTCGGAGTCACTATTGAAATCACATTTAGGTGGCTATGATTTGAAGTTAACTAATCTAAGGACCTCAGGTGATATCAGAAAATTACAATCGCGAAGTTTCAGTGACAAGTACGATAGATATGAATAAAACAAGTTGGCAAAATTACATTTTCGTGTCTAACTATTGTTTTTTCAAATGGCGACCATTTTTTGACAAGCACTTTCCGAAAAAAGGAGTTTTGACGAATCTAACGATACTAATTTATTTGCCATTGGATTACAAATAAGAACATGGATTGAATATCACTGAGGAAAATACTTCATAATAATTTATTTACTTTTTGTCGAGTGTGCCGAGGATAGACATGATGCATAATATTTTGCAGTTATTTCGATTAATTAATTAAGTAGGCATGAAAACTTCCGGAAATGTCACATTCTGATCTAGAATTGTCTCAGAAATCCAAAAATATTACAATATACAGGGTGTTTCATTTAAAAAATTTGAGCCGGAGCCATTTCCGGTGAAACCGGAAGTGACCGGAAAGTGAAAAATATGTGAAAACTCTCTCTTCACATACCATTTACCTATACCAAATCTCATTTTGATACGCCTCATGGTCTAAAAGTTATGACTTGTCTAATAGATTCGTTGACACCCGGTATAGTTGAAATTCAAATCACCGCAGCTATTGAAAGTTCCAAAATATGCATTTGATTTGAATTCACTATTTTTCCGGGGGTGAAAATGGCAAAAAATGAAGCCAATTCTATTCGATTGAGGTGATTTTTTTGTATTTGAAGGTTCGAAACCATGAGGAACAATAATATGAAGTTTCCTTGCATGCAAAAAAAATCCAAATATTTTCTCATACAAATCGACCACTTTTTTCTAATGAAAAAGCACGGCACTGTCCAACAGGATGTTTGAAATGCGACACGCTGTAGATTTGTTAATGTTAAATATTTTTTTATAAACTTGGTACAGATCTATTTCAGAGGACGCCGATTCCAGAATTTCTCAGCCTCTGAATGTGATCTATACAGGGTGTGAATTTGAAAACTTTCAATGCGAATATCTCGCGAAATAAAAAAGTTAGAAAAACGCCGCTTGGCAAAAATGCTAAAGAGTTAAGTGGAACTAAAACCACCATATTTCAGTGAAGGGATGAGTCACCCTGTCAGCGCAACACACCCCAACTTTGAAATGTTCAATGGCACTACCTCTTTTATGATACCTCAAATGAACGGTCTCAGTCAGTAGTATTCACCTGTACAAGACTTTTTTTCCACCCACTACAGGGTCTACGGAAAACATCAATTCGAGGGTCTAAATTTGAAAACTTCCAATGTGAATATCTCGTAAAATAAAACAGTTAGGAAAACGCCGTTTGGCACAACTGCTACAGAGTTAGGGGGAACTAGAACAACCATACTTCAGTAAAGGGATGAGTCACCCCGTCGGCGCGACACACTCCATCTTTGAAATGTCAAATGGCACTACCTCTTTTGTGATACCTCAAATGAACGGTCTCAGTCAGTAGTATTTACCTGTACAAGACTTATTTTCCACCCACTACAGGGTGAACGGAAACATAAAGTCGAATAAAATAAAATGCAGAATGCCGATATATTCCAAGAGATGTGTTCCAAAATGTTAGAATGGCATTTGAACATCGATTATACTATTGCTTAGAACAGAATGGAATGCATTTTGAACATCTGATCAGATAAAATATCCTTTTAACACAATTCATTTTATTTTATTCGACTTTATATTTTTCGTACACCCTGTAGTGGGTGAAAAAAAAAAGTTGTACAGGTGAATACTACTGACTGAGACTGTTCATTTGAGGCATCACAAAAAAGTTAGTGCCATTTGACATTTCAAAGTTGGGGTGTGTCGCGCCGACGGGGTGACTCATCCCTTGACCGAAATATGGTGGTTCTAGTTCCCCTCAACTCTTCAGCATTTCTGCCAAACGGCGTTTTTTTAACTTTTTTGTTTCGCGAGATATTCGCATTGAAAGTTTTCAAATTTACACCCTGTATAGTAGGCCTGCTCAGCTCCAAAATACGCCTTTGCCCCCTCTACTTCCCAGAAAAAAATGTGAAAATCCTCCATAAATAAAAAAACTATGATGGTGGCCTGTTTTCAAATGGGTCACTCTGTATGTAGGTGAACAGGAAAATAGCACGTTTAAAGATCTTTGATCTTCATATTTTCAAAGAAATGTCAGAAATTAGAACGATAAACTTGAACGACCTTCCTATGACAAAAAATGTATAATCGAGGATTTTGTGGAATTGCCCAACATAATTTCAGGATGAATAGTCAATTCCAGGTCAAAGACTCCATTAACGTTCCGTAATCATGCAAGAAAACAAGTTTTATGCAATTTCCTCAAAATAGAATTTCAACGTGTTGAAAACTCTCCTCTGATATCCATATATTTTCCTTCTAATTATAATCGAGGAAACAAGGTGTCTGTGATACAGATCCTAGCAAGGATTTTCATATTTCAAATGATCGTACTATATACGCCTTGACAATGACATATATATGGTATAGTATATTGTTTAACAAGCACGGAGTAGGAAATTAACATTCCGTACAAGTTATACTAATAGGTAACAGCGGCATTTTCGATTTCCTCGTCTTGTAGCCATCTGATTTCCTGTCAAGTAGAGTTCCTAAATGTACTTGACACTGTTGTTTTGACGTTTTTTGTCGAACCAAAGGAAAGTAGAAAATAAATATAATAGTTTGAAATTCTAATGAAACACGATTTTATGGATAGCCAAACTAGAAAGAAGTAGAAAACAAAATAATAAAAGTATGTTAAATATTCAACAACAAAAATATTTTCTAGAAATAAATGTATAGAGCAAAACAACGTTTGCCGGGTATCAGCTATTGTAAGCTAAACTAAAAAGATGTGAGTAGATAATAAAGAGTAGTTTGAAAAAATGGAGAGATATAGAATGCCGAATAAGAAGTAGAAAATAAATAGAATAGTTTGAAAAACTAAAGAATCCCGCTTTTATGGATAGCGAAACTAAAAAGAAGTAAAAATAAAATAAAAAATGTTTTTGATAGATATTTATCTAAAAAAAATGTTTCTAGAAATAATGTTTATGGCAAAACAACGTTTGCCGGGTCAGCTAGTGTTAATATGTATAAGTGTTTGAGGTCGACGAAAAAATGTAATACGCAACTCAGCAAAAAACTATCTATTGTCTCGTCTGATTGCTCGCTATCAACTTTTGCAGACTCGACTATAATAAACAGTTTCTTGTCCTTGGTACATAAATAACTATTTTCTTCCATTACAACGACTCGAAAATAAATATGAGTTGAATGAAGGACATAACATGATGGAGTTGATTAAATTTCATTCGAGTGATGACTCGAAAATTTAGAATGAAAATACAAATGTTCACAATGGAAAATATGCAATGAAGGGAAAC